GTATCACACTACTTCTGCCTGAAGAACTTCCTTTAACATTTCTTGTAACAAAGGTCTGCTGACAACGAATTTTCTCAGCTTTTGTTCTGAAAGGTCTTTAATTCACTTTCATTTTTGAAAGATATTTTTGGGTTGACTTTTTTCTTCCTTTTAGGACTTTAAAGGTATTGCTCCATTGCCTTCTGGCTTGTACTATGTTTGTCAAAAAGTCTGCTATAATTTTTTACCTTTATTCCTCTGTAAGTATCTTTTTAAAAATTCCTGGATGTCTTCAAGATTTTCTCTTTATTTTTGGTTTTCAGTAGTTTAACCATGATATGTATAGGTGTTTTTTACTACTACTATTACCACCACCACCACTACTACTATTGTTGTTTTTAGCCTACTTAGGGCTATCTGAGCTGTTTCTTGCATGTGTGGTATAATCTCATTCATTTATTGAAAATTTTTGGCTATTCTCCATTCAAATACTTGTTTTATTCCATTCTTGTTTTCTTTTCCTTGTGAAACTCCAATTTAATTACATCGTCTGATATGGTCCCATCTTAGATGCTCTGGTTCATCCTCATCTCTTTCAGTTTAAATAATTTATATTGAACTATCTTCAAGTTGATTGACTGTTTCCTCAGCTCTGTTCAGTATACTGATCAGCCTGAAAAAATGCTTCATCTGTGATATTATGATTTTTATTTTTTATTTTCCTTCCTCTGGTTGTGGAACCCTTTCATCTTCTGGACAAATGCAAGTATTTTCAATCTTTCTGATGAGATTTCTCATTTATCTGTTCAAGTTATCTACCCTTTCCACTAAATCCTTTAACATAGTACTAATAAGAGTTAAAGTCTCCATGTGATAGTTCCGATATCTGTGTCTTCTGGAGTGGTTCTATTAATTACTTTATTTCTCAACAACGGGGTGGTTTTCCTTTGCTTTTTCAGCTTATGTCCAATAGTTTTTGACTGAATGCTAAGCAGAACAGTGTACAGAACAGCAGAGTCTGAGATATTTATTATTCACACATGGAAACTGGCATATCTATTCTTTTGTCAAGTACATGCAATTTAGTCAATTTAGACATGAATTGAACTCGGTATCGATTTTATTGTTGTTACAGTTACCTACAGCACACCACAGGTTTCAAATTCTTCTACTGGTAGACTACCACTGTCTTGTGCTTAAAGTGAGAGATGAGGAGCTAGAGATTTTTTCTGAATTGTTTTCCTTTCAGTTTTCAACCATTCCTGCATATCTCTTCCACAGAGGGATCACTTTCCATGTTCCTGATCTTCCCCCAGCAGTAGAAAGCTTTTGTCTGTCACGTAGTGGTAGCTCACGGCTGAGGCAGTTGGGATTTTCAGTTGTCCTGGTCCAGCATCAGTATTACGTAAGCCCTGTGGCTCTCCTTCCTATGGTAGTCAAAATCTGCTTTGTATTGGTATTGGTCTTGAGTGATACTTTTCAACTCTTCCTCCAGTTGTAAAAGATCTCTCTCTAGGTATTGGTGTAGGACCCTGGGGCCCAAAACAGTTTTCTGCACCCCTCTACTTCTACCCAGCAGCAATGGATCTTTGCCTGTGTCCTGGGGACCAGACGGTTTCTCCCCCAGAAGCGGAGGTTTTGTTTTTAATCTCCTTCAAGAAATGTATGAAATAAGGTTTTATGCCCATCCCCCATTGGTTTGAGGCATAAAGGATTCTGAGTAAATGGGAGAGGCTTTTCACCTATCTCCCAGCAGCCAAGATCACCTCCTTCACCCCTATGCAACTGAGATGACTTTTCTTGAGTCTCTGCCTTGCTCCAATTTGAATAATGAATATTCAATGGAGTGCCAGGGAAATGTTTTGCAAGCAAGCGTTGAGCCCCCAGATATTCTAAACTAGTCCATACTTAGTCTTTAATAACAATCAGTAAAAATTTTAGCTGATTTCTTCTCATCCTCTTTTATAGCAGCCATCTCTTTCTCTTTTGTGCTGTCAATTCATGGCCCATTCTTTGGGGGAGTGGGGTTGCCTGAGTCTTTGGAATTTAGGTTACTTGGTTGCTCTTTGCATACTCAAGTCTCTGATGGAGTCAGAGAAATTTTGATTTTGTAATCATCCACCTTCTTATTGTATGTAACGGTGAGAGGTTCTGTGCACACCCTTTACATCCTGAGTAGAAGTCCTCTTCCACTTCGATTCGCCTCCTTTTTCTATTTTTGTAAAGGCATCACCATTCTTACAGTCAGCCAGATAAAATCTTGGAAGTATTTCCGACTTCTCTATAACAATGTTCAATATCTAATCAGTTGATAAATTCTGGATTAGATAAGTCACTAACATCTCTTTATTAGGATCTTTCTATTTCTCTAGTATAAATGCTTATCTCACAATGGTCTCTTATAACAATACTCCTTCAATCAGCCTCTTACACTCTGCCTTCTTCTAATTAAACCTGACTTTATCATCTGGCTGCCTTACTACAGCATTGCTTTGACTGTTTATAATCAAGGCCATGATCAATGTGATCCTAGTTTGCTTTTATAGGCCACGTTCCCAGAAGAACAGGTACGCTATTTCCATCTGACCCAGGTCTTACTTTTAACATCTGGAAACCTATCACTTGAGGTCTATTACAAAGAAGACATTTTCAATTAAAAAAAAAAAAAAAACACTCCCTGATCACACAGAATTCCTCTCTTCTGAACTGTACGCTGCTTTATTGTACTATAAGAATAACATTTTATGGATTGGTAGCATACACATCTCTTACATCCTTTACAATATTGTAAATTCCAAAAAGGCAGAGATCAGAACTTATAAATTGCTATGTTTTCTTTTAGCTTTCCCACATATTTATCTTGCAAATTAAAAGATCAAAATTAATAACATGATGCTTAGTTTCCTTCCTATAATCCATGCATCCTTAACGCACCCCTGACGAGGTCACTAAAAATTTTGCCAGCCCACAGAACACTGTCTGCTTTTGAAACACTGTCTCAAGAAGGGAAAAACACCCATGCTACAACTATAGTTATTATGCCATCCAAGCATTTTCAGAGGATACAACAGAATTAATTTAGAGACCTCCTAGCATAGCCAACCACTTATACCAGTTAGAGTTAAATCTACAATGGTAATCCCAAACACAAATATACTGAAATCTCTTTATTTACCTCCATGTAAATAACCCCAAGAGAGCCACGAAGTTTACTAAGGAAAATCACTGCCACTAATAAAAAGAAAAAAGCCAGTCTACCTCACTAATTCTGTTCGTGCCTTATTTGGTAATCATATTCAGGCATTTTGCCAAGATGAGAAAGTGAAAAGCTTCTACTAAATCATTTTCGATGAATAGGAAAAGGTATAATCACAGACAAACAGGAAGAATAAAAGCAGTTCTAATATGTTATGCCTTTTTCTAAGAGTACTTTCAAATACATTTTTAAGAAATAGCATATAAAAATCCTATAGTGAAAAGGCAGAGTAGGTGCCCTCTTTGCCAATTTGCTTCCTTGGCTAGGCTACGTGACTGGGACCACACTGGAACCTGAACTTATTTGATTCAAACACCAGATCAGATGTCTAAAGCGGCATCTTTTTCATGCATTTTTTTTTAAATGCATAAAATGAAAATAATGTTTTCATTGCTAAATTATACACCTAATAGGTATCTTTATCAATTTAACACAACTGCTATCCAACAATTCAACTTGTAGTAGTTTAAATGAGAAAATCATATAAAGAAGTTCAGCATAGCACTGTTCATAATAGTAAAAAGTAGGAAATAATTTCAATGTTAACCAATAAGGAATCACGTATATAAAACAAACTGCATATATACTATTCAGCAATGAAATACGTTGATGCAGATATATATTTATTGACATGGGAATATGTCTACAGCATGTTGTTGTAAGAAAATAGGTAATAAAACCACATACACATTTGTGACTGCTCATCTGTAGTAATTCTAAGTGGCAAGATATGGAGCATGTGCCAGTTATCAGTTTATTGCCTTTCAGCTCCAAATTTATACTTTATTGCCTGCTTTGCAAAAATGAAACCAGACCCTTTATATATTTTTCCTCTGCCTCATGTGTTAAACTTTATCAGTACAGGGTGCTGGGGAGCAGCTTTCCCCAACACCTTAACCCTTAGGTGGTTTTATAGCAGTATGCCTTTAGTGAGACATTTCTTTGTGAACAGCTTTTCCTGCCAAGCACAGTAGACAGCAGAGTTTCAGCAAGTTTCAACAGCACAGCAACTTCCCTGTCATCCAGTAAACCATGGCTGTCTCCAACACAGTCTGCATCTCAGCCTTAAAGGTTCCTCTTCCAGAACTTTCTCAGACCTAGGAGTTGTGGCTGCTCCTTCTATCTGCCATTCTTATATCTGTTAGAGCTCCCTTTACTTCTTGCTAGCCAACCCCTTGTTACTCCAATCCCCTGTAAGAGTTAATAATTTTTTACATTAAAGCATATTTAATTCTTTAGGTTTTGCTGAAATTACTGTGTAGTTTCACCAGAACTGACCCTGACTGATACAGGGTGGGGTATTTTCCCCTCTTTTTACTTACTGATATTGTCTTAATCTATAATAAGCATGTTTTTGTGTGTGTGTGTGATAATCAAAAAAGGTAAGTTAATTTTATTTTGGAAAAACTGAAGAAAAAGTCAATGCAAAATAAACATTTTAAATAACTTTTTTCTATTTTAACAGAAATATATTTGTGATTAAAATGAATGAAATGTGAAGAACATTCATTTATGTAAGACTATAATTGTTCAGTTTTTTTCTTAATACCAGTTTCTAACGTTATCCAAAATTGTGTTTCTAGATCATTTTAAACAATAGAAATGATTTAGACTGCTATCATTTTCTCTTAGTTATGCTATATAGTGCCCCTTACAAACAGATTAGTAATCAAGGTGTATGCTGGGGTGACAGGTACTGAGATAAATACTAGCTTCTCATATACTCAGTCAGCCTCTTTCATCTTACTATTTCGGCTCCTCTTACCATGTTCAAGGATTATCAGTTGCGCTCCAGCTTGTGCATTTCCAACATCATTCTCAGCAATGCACTGATAGAACCCTTCATCTGATTTCACCAGACCCAAAACTTGAAGATTATGCTCCTTCTGAGGAATAAAAACAATTAAATGTTATGATTCAACTAAATGAACATTATTTCAAAATCTAAAGGATATACTCTTTTTGGGGAGGAAACTCAAGATAAATTGTTTGATTCATTTACTGAAAATTATCAACCTATATACCTGTTAACTCAATTTTATTGACAAGGTACTGACTTACCTGACTAGTACAGAAAACACCATCATTAGCAATGAACTTAATACTCATGGAAAGTCATACCCACAGTATTTGCAAACTTACACCTTTGCTTGGAAAACTATCTGGCATGCAATACCATGTTACCATAGTGAAAGTCTGAATTTATGACTTTTTCTTATGATTACCTCTGGTATCAACAGTTCTAACAGATTAGACTACAATAAGTTAAATATTAGTAGCACATATATGAGCTTTCCTTAAACTATAGAGTACTATGTGAAATTCAGCTATTGTTATTGATATAGTATAATATGGTTTTAAGATTTTTAAAAACAGTATAAAAAAGACTAAAAATAAAAGACTAAAAATGCTAATTTAACCATAACACGTTTTTTAAGATTAAATACCTGTGAATTATTTTTTGTAACTTATGAGATCATGCATTTCAAAAATAGAAAGTATATTCCTACTAAGAATGAATTATTTATGAGAAATTTGAATTGAGACAATAAGTCTTTAACAACTATAGTTACTTCTGGTTAGTTCTATGAATGTCATGTATCTTAAGGTATGTCATTAATTCTTGTTATTAAAACCTAGATAATTCTATTACTAGGATGTTAGATAATGATAACAATAGTAGATAGTATTTATTAAGCATTTACTATATATAAAGTAAAAAGAAATAATAGCTAAATATTCTTAAATATAGTTTAACACTAAATATTAAGCATTTACTATATATAAAGTAAAAAGCAATAATAGCTAAATATTCTTAAATATAGTTTAACACTAAATATTAAGCATTTACTATATATAAAGTAAAAAGCAATAATAGCTAAATATTCTTAAATATAGTTTAACACTATTTACATTTACTTTTTAAAAGAATCTTCATATCTATTGTCACAATAATTGTTCAACACTGGGTCATATTTATTTTGAAGGGCCTGACATCAATATATGAAGGAGAGATGTCTGCTCCTTGAATAAAGAGCTAAGAAGACAACTGGTGCATTTGTGTGTACACACACACACGATAATCATTACCCAGAATATGGTGGCAGCTGTGTTTAAGAGTGCTAATATGTTTAAGTGGGATTCCTAGACTCAGTCCTAACACTAGGTTAGGAAATTTGAACTTTAGCCTTAGTTCGACCACTGATTTGCTATGTGATCTCCTACAAAAATATTTCTCATCAGTCAATGAAAAGATTCTATGGGAATTTTTTTTTTACATTCTATGGGAATTTTTCTATCTTTGCTTGCAGTACATAAACTGGTGTATGTAACAGATCTCCTGGTTGATTACATTTAAAGGTTTCAGAGATAAGTGTCCTTTAAACAATACTTACTACAATCTTAAAGTAATCACTTGGGATAACCATATCCCCATTCTTGACCCACTTCACAGTTGGAGTTGGTTTCCCAGTCACTTCACATTCAAATACAATATCCATAGATTCATGAGCATATATACTAGTAGGCTGCTTCAGAAATTCAGGATGGGCTTTAAGACAGAAAGAAAATTAAGATATTAATAAAAATAAAAATAGGTAGCTATCATATTTCAAGCAATTTTTAAATCACAGAATTCACAGAAATTTTTACTTTTTGAGGCTTTCACGTATTTTTATAAAAGCATGTAACAAATATATATTTAAAATATGTTAAGAACACAATATATTTAAAAACTGATGTCCTAGTATAACTAAAAAGAATAATTATAATTTCTCAGTTTCCTAGCTGAAAAAGATTTATTGACCACATTGAAGAAATTGATAAAACAAATGTTCTAAGCTGTTTAAAGATGAATAAAAGACTACTTCCCTAAGATTTATACCATTTGGAACAGCCAAAATTAAAACTCAAAAAGAGTTGAGAACACTGACATTATCTTCCTTTTCAGTCAACTTGATGAGTAACCCCCAAAAAAGTAATACAAATATGACAATTACAGGACTTAAGATAGTTCACACACACAACATACTCCCATTAGTAATATCCCTCATTATGTGAAATGGTTTTTAAGGGTGGGAGGAAGAGTGATGGGATCTTAGAGGAAAAGTTAAGTGTATCTGAAAGAGCCTGAATATTCCAGTAATTCTCTTTGGCCTTGCTCAAAGTTGTAAATCACTGACTTATGAATAACAGATTAAGATTTTGAACTAGAAGGGTAAAAGTAGATCTAGTCCAACTTCCCACCTAATACTGTAATTTCCAACACAACACCCTTGACACCTTGGGGGTGTTGCTGATCCCTGCTTAGAAGTTTCAAAAGACAATGAACTCCCTACATCACAAAGCATCAAGCTCCACTGTTGGCTAGTTTCTATTTAAAAACAACAGTGATGACAAAAATAGAAAGTGTGTTTTGTTTTTACAGTTGAGCAAAAAAAAAAACATGTGCTCAATCTGCTGAAATTTTGAATGGGATTGTAAATTTGCGACAAATTGACATCTTAACAGTATTGAGTCTTCCTTTTCATAAACATTCTCTCCATTTACTTAGATCTTTGGTTTCTCTCATCAATGTTTTACAGATTTCAATATACAAATCTTAATCATACTTTGTTAGGTGTATGCCTATGTATTTCAATTTTTTTGATGCTGCTGTTAGGTACTTTACATTTTTTTTTAGTTTCCAATTGATCACTGCTATTGTGTAGAGGTGAAAGTGATTTATGCATATTGATCTTTTATCCTGTAGTCATGCTAAACTCATTAGTTCTAGTAACTTTCTAGAGACAATTTGGGGATTATCTACATATATACAACATATATTTACAGTAGTCTGTAAATAGAAGCATTTTATTTCTTCCTTTTCAATCTGTTTTCCTCTTTTTTCATTTTCTTGCCTAGTGTGCTAGCTAGAGTGGGACAGGTCCTCAGAAAAAGTCCAGAGTAGCTTTATAATGTGGGTAAATGGAGAATAAGAATATAGAGAGCAGGTAGAACCCCAGGTAAGCAGTGGGAGCCAAGGAGGGAAAGAATGTCTGATCTTAAGAATCGAGATACACTCATAGTGGAAGATCAAGAAAACAAGTCTGTACAACTAGATGAAACCAGGGATATCTATTAATAGTGACTTTGACTACCCTTTCAAACACTGATTAGCCATTTGTATTTATTCTTAGCTATACACATATTCTACCATTTTTACAATTAGAGTACTTATAATTTTCTCATCTGTATGTAAGAGCTTTTCACGTAATGCCAGTTATCAATTTATGGCTTTTCAGCTCCAAATCCAATCTTCTTTGTAATGGATACAGACCTTTGCCAGCTGGTGCAACATTAGACTTTGTTAGTAGAGGGTGCTGGAGGGACACTGTAAGGCACGGCAGAGGACAGTGCTTATCTTTCAGGTTGGGGTGTTTTCTTCTTGCCCCTATGATGTGGCAGCTAGAAGGTATGTGGGAGACCCATTGGTGATCACCCTCCTGCAAGTTTCTGTTTCTAGTAAGTTTCTCCAGTTTACTTCAGCTGGTGGCTTTCTCTGCACCACCTCTGACCCATAGCATGTCACTGAACAGCGTCTAGCATACCAGCTCTTGACTTGTGGCACCCCACTGGGCAACTTCCTGCTCATCATCAGTCAGGCCAAAGGCACCCCAGCAGGTGGCTTTCCACACACTAGCTCAGGCCTGTGGCACCCAGCAGGCAATCTCCTGTGGACCAGCTTGGCCCATGGCTGTGTCTTTTGGCAGCAACTCTAATCTCTCCAAGGTCTGAATTGCAACCTTGGTTATGAGCACCCTCTTTCAAGTTTGTTCCTTTTTGGATTCTCTCCCTCAGCTCTATAGTAGTAGTTGATCCTTATATTTACTATTTCTGTATTCTTTAGAGTCTTATTTTATCCTTTTTAGTAGTTAAAACACCTTTTATAGTAAATAATTCGTTATATTAAATTTTCCTTGTTCAAATTCCTGGTGCAATTTATAGCTCCTAACTGGACCCTGACTAATACAGTAAGATATTAATCCTTTCTCATACATGCTGCCAATATTTCTTCTCAGTTTTTTCTTTTGTCTTTTCAAGTTTTAAATTTGTATGTGGTAAAATTTATTACTCTTTTCCTTTTTGGCATCTGTATTTTATTATTCTAAACTCCAAAGATTTTCCCTGTTCTGCTACTATAAAAATATTCACTTATACTTTCTTCTAGTATGTCTATGAAATAATCCAAACTTCGCTAAGTATCTGGCTTTATATTTTTCTAAAAGGGAACTCCCAGTAGCCTCCAAAGAGTAATGGGTTTGAAATAGTTTTAATATTAAAATTCTATATACTTTTGGAGGGTTTATTTCTGTGTACTAAGTGGCTTCACTGATTTAGTCCCAGACCAGAACCACAAACTTACTGATTGCAACTATATAACATCTTTAAATATCTGGCAGAACAAGTACTCTCCTTTTATTCATTTCCTCAAAATTTTCCTAGATGTTCATTAAGTTGTTGAAGGTTTTTTCCCAGATGAATTTAGACTTACCTTTGGTTAAGTTTCTCTGTTCTTTCTCAAAGAAAACACAAACAAGAGCAAACTAGAGTTTTCATTTGAAATGCAATAAATTTTTGGTGCAGGAAAAATGAACGTATTTGCAATCCTGAGTGGTCCTATTTAAGGTCAGATTATTTAAGTTTATTCATATACTATTCAATAATGATTTATTATAAAGATATTGTAATGACTGAAGTCAAGAGACCTATAGTTGAGTTCTAGTTCTACAATCAAACGTTTTGCTGACCATAGGTTTCAAATCCATGGGTTTCAGTTTGCTCCTATATTAAATGAGAAACTCAATTTGAAACTCAATTTGATCTTAAGTACTTTCTAAGTACTTAAGATCTCTGACCAACTATGATTTTGATTTTTATATCTTTAGTTTATAGCAAAGATAGTTTATATCTTTGATATATGATAATAGCTTAACATTCATGAATGGTTTCCATTTATTATCATTTAGCTCCCACAAAACCCTATTATTTAAATATCATCATATTATTTCCATTTTACAGACAAGGACACTTATACACAAAAAGGCTAAGTATCCCATAGGGTCACATAGCTTAGTCAGTGACAAATTTAGATTTTGAACCTAGATAGTCTGACTCAAAACTCTATAGTCTTTTAAAAAACTTTTTTTTATTTTATAGAAAGGATAATAAGTCATATATTATATACCTGTTGTATAGCTTCAACAATTATCAATTCATGGCCAATACTGTTTGATCTATACCCCAAGTCATCTTACACTCCTCCCCAGACTATTTTAAAAGCAAATCCCAGGTATTACATTATTTCATATATAAATAATTAACTACCTCTACAAGAACTCCTATTTCTAAACAAAACCATGATACCAGCATCAGGTTGGTATTTATAATAATTTCTTAATATCATCAATTACCCAATAAGTATTCACATTTTACTGAATGACCTATGTTTTAAAAAATGATTTACTTGAATTAGGTGAAAAAGAGGCAGTCACTGGTATTAATTTGTTTCTTATGTTTCTTTTAATCTACAGGTTCCTCCTTTATCTCTTATCTTTGTAGTTTGTTGAAGAAGTCATTTGTTCTATAAAGTTTCCTGTGGTTTGTCTTTTGCTGACTGACATGCCACGCTGGTATTTAACATATTTGTCCTATAAATTGGCAGTTTAATGTAGAAGCTTGATTTTAGTCTTTTTTTTTTTTTTTTTTTTCAAGACAACTTCATAGGCAGTGTCATGTACTTCCATCAGGAGGGTTCATAGTGTGTGACTTTAACAGTCTATGATAATCATTAGCTATGCAAAATGGGTTGTCAAATAACAATATTCCTATTTTATTATTCCTTCTATAAAAAAAATCCCCTCATCAATTATTTGGTTATCCTTAAGTATAGTTCTTACAGAAAGGGCAGGATAACTGCTTGATTCTTTCCCTTTACTTACCAATATTCAAAACAATGATCTGGTTCTCTAATATTGTCCAAAGGTGACTGTAAAGTACCATTGGATTAAAATATCATGGATTAAAATACATTTGGTTTGTTTCAATCCACGTTATTACTCTTTTGATTCTCAAATTACCTTGACCAATGGAAGCATGAGTCCACTGGAGTTCTTGAGTCCTTTTAACATGGCACTAGTGATTTTACTATCTTCTGTTCACTGTATTTAGGCTCTATTTGTGGACAAAGCCAGCAATTATGTACTTTTTAAATATAAATTCATCATGATTTCATTCTAGTTATTTCTAATTTAACTGGGAACTACAGGTTTCAACTGAATCATTAATTTTACATCTGTAGCTTCTTTCTCTCATGCCCAAAATCAAAGTTCTCAATGATACCAACTTAATTACTACCAACAAGATACACTTTTGGAGTCATTTGTTTCATTTTCTTATCCTTTTCAGGAATTACTTTGTAAAATTTTAAACCTTCAAAAATAAGGTTATTCAAACAAGTCTTGCTTCTAACTCTGTTTTCCCCACCCTATTCTCTCCCTTTC